TCTATGAAAAGTCTAGCTTGGTAAAAGCAATGATTTTAGTTAGGGTTATTTATGGAAATTTAGGCAACTTATGTACCACTACACCACTGAATTAAAAACGTCTCCCACAGCAGCTCTTAATTGTCTATATATCCTTGGGGGTGGGGCCTCCTAAGCCCTCTACTCTACTAACCATTGCCTGTGAGTCTTGGGGAGATGTGGGGCCCTCCCTCTGTGACAGAAGGTTTATTGGTTCAGTCTTGTGCCAGCTGCTGACTGGTGCAGAGGCCATGGCACATTGTGCCCACAGGACAGTGTTTCCTAATGTGAGAGTCACAGCTTCTGTGATTTCTAGAGGGTAGTAGGCATGTGTCATGCCGAGGACAGCTTTCACAGTATTTCACTTAAGTAAAATTCGAGGATTTAAGCTGAATGTATTTCTGAAGACCTTAAAAAGCAGCCACAGCATATTTCTTCAGTGACTTTTGTATTCTACTAATTTAAACAAGGAAAAATGTCCAAATACTTATAACTATAGGGATGTAGACAAAGGGCTAGGTATGAAGGCATCTGAGGCAGGAGGATCTCAAGTTCAAAGCCAGCCTGGACTACAAAGTGAGTTTTAAGTCATGCTGGGATACCTGGGTGTAAAACTGTATCAATTTCTTCTCTTTTGTTTTTTTTTAATTGAAAAAAATATTTAGACAATATATTCAGATTACTGTTTTCCCTTCCCGAACTCCTCCCAGATCTTCCAGATCTTCCCCAGTACTCCATCCCTACAACTCCATACTCTTTCTTTCTCTCTTTGGAAAACAAACACAAACAAACCATCATTTAAAAAACAAGAAAAAAACCCACAGGAAAAACACACAAAGTCCACAAAACACAAAATTGGAAACCATAGTATACATATAAAGGGCCAGTAAGAAAAAAGTGCTCACACAAAGCTGAAAATGTGGTATATTTACGCAGCAGAATATTACTCAGCTGTTAAACAAAATTTTGAAACTTGCAAGTATATGGATAGAGCTAGAAAATGTTATCCTGAGTGAGGCAACTCAAACCCCAAAAGATAAATAGTTCATGTTTTCTCTTATATGTGGATGTTAGCTTTTAAGCATTCGATAGGCACGCTACAAACTGTATAATCACAGAGTTAGGTATAGAGTAAGAGACTAGGGCACTGGTTCTCCACCTGTGGGGAATTGAATGGCCCTTTACAGGAGTCACCTAAGAGCATTGGCAAACACAGATACTTATATTATGGTTCGTAACAGTAGCAAAGTTACGGTTATAAAGTAGCAATGAAAATAAGTATATGATTGGGGGTCACCACAGCTCGAGGAACTGTATTAAAGGGTTGCCTCATTAGAAGGTGGAGAACCCCTGGGCTAGAGGGGAAGGTATGGGTTGGGGGGTATCTCTCCAGGAGGGGAAACAGAATATACAGACAGGGAGGGGGGAATTGGAGCAGGAGGGTTAAATGGGGAGGGGGTTGGAAGAAAGGAGGCAAGGGAGGGATTATTGGGAGGGCCAACTAACACTGAGGGCCGCCTGAGGGGACATGGTAAACCTGAAGAAGCTTATATTGTTTGCGTACATAGAAGAAGTCTAAATAGTCACCAAATAACAGGGAGACTATACCCCAACTAGACGTCTGTTGACATCAAGTGAAGCCTCCAGTACTAGGAATGGGATACCTCTCGTTGTTCATTTGCTTCTGTCGTAGACATTTCACTGAGGCACAGATTCTTCCAGCTGTGTGACTAGCACAAGTGGGAAGAGTACTGTGAGTTTACTGTCTGTACTGATCTGTACCTGAGTTATTTCCAGAGCCTCTGATGCTCAGGACTCAATCTTATCGTCTCTTCCTACACTCTGATATTTGTGGGTTTAGTACTCATCAGCTTCTACTGCCTGAAAATGACGCTGAACATGTTTGGTCTGTCATCCGAAGCAGAGGTGTGTTTGATGTCCTCAGACCTGCAAAGCTCCTGAGTGAGTGCGCTTGTTTGCTCAGATTCCACATGTCCTAGAGCTTTGTTATTCATTTTCATTTTGCCAGCTAACTCTGAAACTGGCTAGAAGCTTCCATTGTGAAAAGACAAAATCCAGCTGCTCCTCTTAGCAGTGACCATGATGGCAGTGCCAGCACGATGATTCAGTGGATTAGGGAGCTTGCTGCATAGGCCTGGTGATTGAAGTTTGACCCCCAGATCCCATGTGGTAGGAGAAGACTCACTGCAGCCCTGGGCCGCCTTGTGGCATCCTGGGAAACCTACACGTAGGTGACACACATACACATTTGTGCACTCTCACAAACGTTAATAAATGATGGCCAAGAAGCCCAATAACACATCTCAAATGAAGATTTTGGGAAGTTTATGGTGGTTCATATTATTGAAGAGAATGTGTTTTTCAACTTTATCTAGGAAACAGCAAAGAATGATTCCTTAAACGGTTCAGGATATCCAGTAAATTCACAGTTTGTTTTTCAAGTGGCAGGTGAGATTGATAACATTTAGAAAGAAAATAAAACATGAAATTTTACAAAGAATTGAGTGACAATGACAATTGATTCATGAAAAAGCTGGTGGCTTATGTGTACAACTATTTTGTAAAAAGTTGGAATGTAATTTGTATTCGTGCAATTCCCACTCGACACTTCTCTCTCCTGTGGTTTAGTATTTCCACAAAGTTGTGCAACTACCCCTACTATAAACGACACCCCCACTGTAAACATTTTCATTGTTCCCCAAAGAAACCCGCTGTGAACCACCCCTCCTGCCTTTGGTAGCCACTGGTCTAAATCTGTGTGGATTTGCAGATTTGAGCTGATTTCAGTTTTAAATAGATAACAAATCTTAGGGTAATAGTAGTAAAAACAGAATCAGGTATTGTTTTAATTGTGTAGGCAAAGTACAGATTTAACAGTTTGCAGACAGTCTACTGATATGAAAAACACTGTTAATATATACCAAAGATTTTTCTAAGCTGCTACTTTAATTTTCAGTGCAGTATAGCAAGTCACATTTCTATTGTATTGGGTATGTTGAGTAATCTAGAAATTATTTAAAGAATACAGGAGATTATTGGAGTTATTGCATATATCTCCTGGTTTGAATGACTCCCTGGATTATAGTATGGGAAGGGAGGTGTCCTACAACCAGTCTAAGATACAGAGGGGGACTGTAAGAGGCTAGTGATCAGTAATGTTGGTAGGCCAAAGAATGCTCCTTTATGGTTTTAAAAATGTGTTTGCGTGCTTTTAAAACAAATGCTATGGTTTGTGCCTACCAGGCCCCACTCAAAAAAGAAAGCTAGCTGCTGGCAACTTTGTTTAAGCAATATTAGCATTCATGTCATAAATATTACTTAAATTTATTTTTTAAATTTGGATTTATTTTTTTTGTTTTATAGTTATACAAGAGGCATAAGTATAAAGAGTTTGTATTTGTGCATGTTTAAGTGACATTTTAAAAACATAAGTCAGTGTCAATAGAGGTTTTTAAATTTCTTTAAAAAGTTAACATTCCTTACGTAGAAGGGACTGAAATATGAGTCCAGTTTGAGCTACATAGTGAGAAATAGGCTCCTCCCATACAAAACAAGTGTACATTCTTCAGTATGACAGGCACTGTTTTAGACATCCATGGATTTTGCTGTATATAAGCTTAACTTCAAAGTTAAATTTTCTTTGTTTCCATTTTGAAATTTAGTCTCAGTCATGATGTGAAACATTTCCTCATAACATGATTATTTTCTGTGGAGATTCTAAATTTGATATGGACTTGTTTCATTAAGAAGTACATTATTTCTGACTGTAGAGCAAGTATTAAAGACTTACTAGGTGAGGTAAAACTGAAATGGTCACAAGTTTCCTAAGGAAGAGCAAAGAAAGACTTCAAGAGAATTCCTTCCCCTGATAGTGGACCGAAGTGCAGCCTAACTATTGCTTGGTGAGTGAGTGGTGAAGGTTTGGAGATGTGATTGAGGCAGTGACGGGGAGATAGTTGAAGGTCAGAGAGACATGAAGAGTCCCCAAGAGTGGTGGTCAGAGTGATGGTGACATGTTAGAACAGCTGGCTGGGTTCAAGGTTCTTAGTCAGTACCTCTCCCGTTTTGAGTCCCAGGTTTAGGATCACCCATGTAAACACATGTGTGCAGAGACTAGAGAAAGACACAAAGGTCTGCAAAGGAAACTAACGCCTGCAGCCAGTGTTCTGCAGGTACCCACACGTAGCGGGGCCCTTCCTGCTGCTCCTCTTCACTCTGCTCCGTCAGGGTTCCTCCATCTCTCGTTTCCTCTGCTGGGCTCTTAACAGTGTGTTCACTGGCCTGCTTTCTAGGTCTCAGTCACCTCTGTTCATGTAGTAGTACATCGCCCTATAGCAACACTCTGCACCACCACTCAGTGTCATAGCCTCAGTGTTACTTTCCAGTGAATGTGACCTAGGGACTAACACAGTCCCAAGTGTCCATTTGTAGTTATTTGAATTATTTTATAAATAACCTTAGCCTTATTTTCATATTTAATGGAGGTCTCAAGATGTCATTAACGTTTTTTTAGAGATGCTTCTTTTCACAGTGTAAAGTATATGCATGCTGTTGTAGACTTAATAGAAATCTCCAGATGGTCATCCCTCTTGACTGTCGGGGTTGCTGTGGAGTGTACTTCTGTCTAATCTGCTTTTGTGGACCCTTTAGGGTGTAATCATCATCTTGTAGTTCTGTGGTTTGTTTGGTATGCTTCATTAAAACATATGGTAGACTCTCCCCTCCTCCCTCCCTTCTCCCTTCATCTGTTTCCCTCCATCCGTTTCTCGCTGTCTGTCCTTCTGCCCTTCCCTTCAAGGGGTAACGTATTGAACTACATTTTTGGTACCGGCACTTGTAAAATGCTTGTCAAGTACAAGTAGATTACTTAGGGGTTGCATGGGCACTGCACTTGGCGTCACGTGCCGGGTGCCTGCTGCCCGTGTGATCGCTCCTAACGGTCCGCTTTCTGCTGTCTTCAGGTACACTGAAGACATGGTGCCCTGGCACCCTTGCCTGAAGCTTGTTAGCAACTGTGAGCAGAAGCTTTCCAGTCACACGGCAAGGCGCCTGATCACAATGGAAAAGGTGAAAGACTTTGAGGTATGCTGCCTACGTGGTTTCTTTTCTTTCTTTTTTTTTTTTTTTGGTATAAATTCTGGGAGAATCAAAACTTGACCTTTCTAGATAGTTTTCCTGGAGTAGGCTTTGGAAATGTTAGTCTTGATTTTGACAGTCTAGGTGAGTTTAGGAGGAAACGGGAGTTGAAGAAATTTGTGGCCTCTGGCTGTGGCAGGAGTAGGAGCGAGGGGTTTACTAGAAGAGTAAACGAAACTCTCTGACGCCCCGGGCTTCGCTCATGTCCGGTTGCAGAAGCGGAGCTTCCCGACCGCAGACTCGAATGTCTGTATTTATCTACTAAGAATGTGTGTGTGTGTGTGTGTGTGTGTGTGTGTGTGTGCGCACATGTGCCATGGTGCATGAATAGATGTCACGGGACACCTGAGGGAGCTGGTCTCTCCCGCCATGTTGATTCCAGAGAGTGAACTCACTCAGTCATCAGGCTTGGTGGCAAGCACCTTTCCCGATGAGCCACCTCAGCAGCCGAACTGCAAGTTTAATCGAGACAATGATTCTCTATGTAAGGAAGCAAGGAAAATTTCGTCGTCTGTTAGAGTACATGTCAGCAATCATAATCTCTCTCTCTCTCTCTCTCTCTCTCTCTCTCTCTCTCTCTCTCTCTCACACACACACACACACACACACACACACACACACACACACACACACACACTATTTAAGTTTGAGAAAGAAAAGCCTTAATAACATTTGTTACTCTGTATCCAGATATGATATGAGTAGTACCTCATTTAATGAAACTTCAGTAACATGATGGGATGGATGTCCTTTGTGCCATCCTTCTCTGGACTGACAGGCTCTCAGATGCACTGGCTGTTTGGACAAGCCATGTCTGTACAGGGCAAGCAGAACAGGATAGCTGTGTCTGACTGTTTTGTAAGGCCCATCTGCACTCTGCATTTAGTGATTATCATCTAATTTATACCTTATAGTCTTTCACAGTGGTGATTTATGCACTGCCTTTTGTGTCTGTCACTTTGCATCTTTCATCCCTTTCCCATTTGCTATCTCTCTTTAATTTAGATCCTTAGTGCCACATAATTAGTTTACCCTGACAGATCCTAATCTCTCTCCATATCTTGTTCATATCTATTAAATAGATTTCCCTAAAATACTGCATTTATGTTTCTTTATGCAAGATTTTTTAGTTAATCATTTTTATTACTAGGTAATGTTTAGAAAGTTTTCAGCATGGTATAAATTATCCTCAGTAATTAGACTCCAACATCAAGACTGTTCAGGAAACTAAGCTATTTATCTAGATAAGTAGTTGGTGGTTAGCCACTAGATGTGTGGCTATTTCTGTGCTTGGGTGTATAGATAGATACATGTGGTATGATGAGAATGCATGGTAGTAGTTTAAGAAAAACAATAGCCACCTGTTCATATTCCAGCCTCATCTCCACAATTCCTATTCAGACAATAGATATCTTTGGAATGGACACGGTTTTCCAGTGTGCTAAAGTTTATCTGTGTACTTACATTTAAAAAGGGATATCAATACTAAACCATTATTTTATAGTAACAACTTGTCTTTCTTCAAATGATATTACACATTTTGTACTGGATAGTTTGCCGCATTAGAGTTCCTTGTGGAAATCAAATCCTGTCCCACATATGATGATTTACCATTAGTTGTTTAGAACATTGCAGATTCAGAAATCTCAGGAGTAGTTTCCATATTTATTGGCCCAGTGACAACCTTCAAAACCGTCAGTTGAATCCAGCAGAAGCCCTGTTACCCTGCTGTCCACTGCAGTGGATGAATCCGTCCTGGCCACTCCTCCTCGAAACCCACTATCTGATGATGGTGATGTGTTGGAGACTGATTCCACGTACCAGCTCAACGTTCTGTTTCCCCAGGGTTCCTTGTGCTGTTGTCAGGACTCTTTATCCCGGGTGGGAAGAGTACGGTAATTATGCAGTCTAGCTAAATACCCGTTAGACGAGTGAAGCGTGAGTGTAAGGATGGAGTTAATGTTTCCATAACAAATAACACGAGTGCTTTAGAAGACAAGATAAAGTCTGCTGCTCAGACAGGTTTGAGAACGTAGCTCAGTGGATAAGGACACTTGCCACAAAGTCTGATGACCTGAGTTTGATTCTTAGAACCCATATGGAAGAAGAGAACCAACTTTCCCAAGATGTCCTCTGATTTGTGACACATGCACCCACTCCCAATGAAATAAGTAAATGAATGTGGCTTTTAAAAAATATACATAAAGGAAGACTTGAGTTGGGAACAGAAAAATGATCACAGTTCAAGCTTCTGGACTCAGGTTGCTTTGTAAGACACGAAGTTCTTGGTTTACTTGATGCAAGACAGAACTGGGACTCTATAGGTGTGAATCCATAAAGGCTGGCGAGTCATTGTATAACTCATTATTTATAAGCAAATAGGGGTATTTTAGATTACAGAAAGTTCTCCCATTTGTGGAAGTGGAGAGTGCAAAGATTGGTTTCTAGAAGGTGAGACTGCTCTCCTGGCATCTTGGTGTCTACCTTGTAGCTCTGTCTTATACAGCCTTGTTCTTCAGCCTGCCTATGCTGTCTCTTCCTCTGTTCACAAAGATACCAGTTACATTGGATTAAGACGCACCATTATGACATCTTTTACCCTTAATTACTGCCTCAAAGGCCCTGTCTCTAACTATAGTTAGCTTGTGAAGTAGGCCTTATTTAAGTGTGTGGGGGGAAGTTCGTCCCTAACGCTAACCATTATCAATTTACTAGGACATCCTAGGCTGGTTGTCGTTAGAGCTGCCCCCCTGTCCAGTCATGCTGTCTTATGTATGTGTACATTTCTCTTTTGCTGTGTTAAGGGAAGTGAGGTGTTAGATCATTCAATAGTAGTTTTACAACTTCTACAGATTATCGCATGTAATATAATTGTGAGTTAGTAGTGATAATAGTAGCAGATGTGTTATGTGCCAGGACAGTAGAGGTAGTTATACAAAACAGCAATGTTACCTGTAGATGTTATAGTTTTAGTTCTTGTTAGCAAAAAGCTAAGTATGTGACATTAGCTTCCTTCGTGACATTGCCTACATAAATAGCAGTTCTGCATAAACTGTGTTCCAAAGAATTACCCAGATGTGAAGAAGGTTCTTACCGTTTCTATTTTTACAGAAATTGAAACAAACAATAAACTAGGGTCCTGTGTGAGCTAATTTCGTATATGCTTTCTCCCGAGTTGAGTTTAAGAAAGTCTGTTTTTCTTCCAAATTTATAATTCTGTAAGCAAATTTATTTCAAAGTCAAAGGAAAATGGGCTTTTGAGAGTTCTTAACTGTGTATTAAAATGGTAAGTAAGCTCACTCTCCTTTAGTGTTTTCAACCTGTGAAAACAGGACTGCTTCTGGGTTGGCTTCCTGTTTTCATTTGACTTTTGTTCTTGTTTGAAACAGGTGCGTGCGTGCGTGTGTGTGTGTGTGTGTGTGTGTGTGTGTGTGTGTGTGTGTGTGTGTGTATTGAGACAATGTCTCGCTGTACAGTCCCGCTTTCCTGGAGGAGTCTGGCCTCTGACTCAGAGGTGTGCCTGCGTGTGTCCCGGTGTTGTCCCACCATGCCTGGCTGAAACTGAGTTTTTTTCTTATTTTAATAAGGAAAAGCCTCCTCCTAATGGTCAGATTAGTGTGGGCTCACATTAGTAAGTCTTAACTAGTGTGGGCTTAACTGTGAATGTCTTGTAATGTGATCCTCTGTCCTGTTTGTCTTTAATTCATTGCTTCACTTCTGCCTTCCGTTTCCTGTGAGGAGTGTCCGCAGCTACAGCAGGATCATCGCAGCCCTTCCTAACACAGGTGGACGCAGACTTGTCAATCAGTTCTCACATGTCTGACAGATTGTTCTCAGACTTGTTCGGTGCTGTTGGCTTTGGCAGTGGATGAATATTAATTTTAGATTTTTGTACTTCCATGTACTATGACCTTTGCTTTTGACATGTCCGTTGTTAGGTCTGACTTCAGTTTAAAGTTAGGCTTACTTGAGACATTGTTAAAGTGTTCTCCCACCGTTTAAAATGTACAAATAAGTCATAAAAACTGTCGAGTGAGTGTGGATATTTGTATATTTACATCATTGGCTATAGTTTTGGACTTGTTTATTTCGTGTGAGTAGTGAAGAAGCTTTTGATAACTATGTCAGTGTTATGAAGATGCCTGATAAAAAGATCTGGGGTTTGTTGTTGTTATCCTTCATTGAAATAGCCTAGAAACTAAATGAATTAAGTGCCGTGTTTTCTCAGTGCTTGTTTATAAATGCTCTTATCTGTCTGAGTTTATGTCACCATTTCAGAGACGAAGAGCCTTCCTCTAGCCCCCTGATGACCAAGTGGTGAACAGCAGAGTTGAAAACAAAACTTGTCTTTGTCCTCGAAATTTGACCCTTTTCCTACATCACACTGTCTTCCACCTGGATGTCGTTCCCCCTTTAGAGTGGGTTCAGATACAAGGTCTGGGTATGCTGCTTAGTGACAGGCTGCTTGCCTAGCAGATGCCAGACCTGAGGGTCAATTCCCACTACCACAAAATAAATAGGCAGCAAGTGTTCTCAAGCACCGAATTCCTAGCCTCTTCTAAACAGACTCTTAATTTCCCTGTGAGTTGTAGCCAGTATGCTCAGGATACCCTGACAGGGCATAATGCGCTTTGCTAGGGTTAATTTTCCTCTTCTTATTGACACATAGTTAATGGTACTGTGTATAGTTGTGATAACTCTATGAAACATTTTTCTTAGGAAATTCATTGGATAAAAATATTTGATCTCCAAAAAATAAAAGCATTCTAATCTTCAGAAATCTCTAGATTAGAACAGATTGTATAAAATGGTTATGCATTCAGTGCAAGCTACCCAAAAGCAGTGTTCTCTCAATGGCTTCTGCCAGAGCCTACTAGAACCAGATGAAATAGTACCTGGAGTAGCTACTTCACAGATTTTTCTTCATCTTTTTTCTTTAAAAGATT